ATGCATGCATGCATGCATATGTCTGAATTTGGGTACTGCTGGTTTTCCCCTCCATCGGTGTTTCAATCTTTTCTTTATTCCAGGATCTGGGATGGATGTTTCAAGCAGCTTGTTAGGACCCAACACACTACCAAAAAAATGCATGCATGCCAGAGGCAGGCCGGTCAAAGCAAAAAAAGAATATCCAAACACAGTTTCAGATTTGTGAAAACAACCCGGCGATGGGGTTGTTATCGTGGTGGAACAACATCAACCTCTGTTTGATAGAGTACAGAAGGCCTTGCATTCCGAGCAGCAGTTCAGCCCTAATCCATCAGCTATTAGGAAAATGCTTCCCTCTTTGCGAGTTTCATGTTCCGTCAGCCTTCCGCCCCCATCACTGACTGAGTGGATGCACGTCCCTCCTAGCCAGCTCCAATTGCCTTAGACATAAAGCACCTCTTTTTAACATTTACGAACATAGCACAGTTGTGGGTTTCTATGCACTGAAAACCAAGACCCATAGGAGGAAAAACATGAAAGACACCACCGCTGCTTTGGCAAAAGCACATATAAAGGAGCCATTCAGTTCTGCAGCATAACGGCAGCGCTTTCAACTAGGAAACGGCACCCTACCAAAAGCCGGAGAAATCCCCACCAGACCCAGTCACACCTTCTGGCAAAGAGGTTTGATTGTTGTTGTTCTATAAGCCTCAAATCAGGTCTTAACCTGGCATCACCAGGAGCAAATCTCAGCCTCCTACATCGATCTGCTGGCCCTGGCAGCAACTGTACCGAACTTCTGGCATTCCAAACCTGGAGATGGAGTTGCAATTTTTGACACACATATGCAAAAGTGAAGCTCTGGAAGCAGGTGTGAACCAGACACCTGGCAGGCCAGAAAACATTCCCAAACTCCTCCCAGGACCACTGGGGGCAGGGTAATTGAAGGAGAGTACTGCAGGCTAAATGGCAGCATCACCTCCCAGAATTCTCCAGGCCCCTCAGTCAGCTGACCACCAGAGAACCCATCCTTTGTCATGGTACGCTATAAAACTCCCAGGATCCCCCTCATTCCTTCTTGCTGAGGTATACACCCCTTCCTCTATTTACTTCTGAATGGCTCGCTGGTTGTTCTCTCTGCTCAGGATGACTGCTATTCCTCAAGTGCAGCAGAAAGCATCTGACACATTTCTCTCTATGAACTTCTCCATTTTTACCCTGCCTTTTCATCATAGAGGCTCTGAAAGTAGCTTATTTTTGGTTTAGGAAAATTCAAGCCAGAGAGGGCTGCAAGCTAGCAAACTTCCCCTCTAGCTGCAAGTAAGAGTCTGGAAGCTTCTTTAACCTCAGTTTGCTGTGTCATACAAATCCAACAAGCTGCAGTTTATCTTAGCTGTGATCAGTGAAAAGAAACTGACTTCAAATCACAGTTTATGAAACTGGCTTGCTTCCACTATCCATAGTTAAGATTGACCACAGTTTAGGGCTGACCTGTGATTAAGCCAAAACAGAAGCAGGAGCTTCCAATCTTTTCTTCATGGCCAAATCAGAGGAGGAAAGAGGTACGGGTGGGACACTGCTGTTTATTATTGTCATGCTAAATCGTAGTTGATTATTATGTCCAAAATCAGCCACTGCATCCAAATAAAGCTCAGTTTTGATTGCATTAGGATGGGGGAAAGGGAAGTACTTCAGAGGGCCACAGGAAGTGCCACAACAGAAAACGTGGTTGTCACAGGATGTAGTAACTTAAATGATTCTCTTCTTTTTTAAAAAGCCTATACGGGAGTATGGAGAACAGGTAAATCAACAACTATAGCCACAATATGTAGGTTTCAGCGGAGCTATGTCTTTGGTTAACCGAACTTGGACACAGACTGCAGCAATTAAGAGGGTGGATTCTAGGTATGATCCAGTTACCTCAAGCATATACTTCAATAATCTTAAACTGGACTCAGTTCATTGAATAAAAAATCAGTAAATCTTTGGTAGCAATTGAAGACCAACAGGATTAAATATTTCTGTATGGATTATGCTGCAGCTTGCACCTGTAGTGATGATTATTATTACTGTTGTTGTTATAATTGTATAACATTTATACCACACCTTTCTTCCTCTTGCAAGGAATCCAAGAAAATTTACAAGGTTCTTCTCCTCTGTTATTGTTTTCTTCACAACAACCTGCAAAGCAGGCTAGACTGAGTCTGTGACTGGCCAAAAGTTACCCCGGGAGCTTCACTGCTGAGACTAGAACCTGGATCCCACAAGTCCCAGTCCAACTCTCTAACCACTACACTGCACTACCTCTTTGAGTACCATTTAAGAACAAGAGTAGACTAGGATGATCAGGGCTCTTTAAAATAGCATTTGGGTATCCCAGAAGTCTCTGCTCTGTATGCACAAGTCACCAAGGATTAAGACAATGGGAAACTATGTAAAAGAAGCCTGTAGCTTCAAACACATCTATCTAGTCTGGCTTTCTGTTCATGCAGTGGTCAATCAGCTGCCCACAGGAAACCCACAAGAAGGACACAAGTGCGTCGGCACCCTCTTGACCATGTTCCCCAGCAAGCAGTGCCCTTCAGCATCCTGCCCTCAATACGGGACGTCGCATACAGCCATCCTATCCAAGGCCTGGTATGGCAGAGCAGACTCAAGTGTCAGGTGGAAAACTCACACCTTGGTCTCACAAACTCACATGGGGAGGAGACCTACATTCAGACGGCCGTGGGTCCAGCCTGGAAGCTCCCTCACTGCATTCTGTCCAAATAAGCTTCCCTCCTTGCCCCAAGTCCTGAAATATGGCAGAAATGGGCACGGGCAGTGCCAACTGGCTGGCATCTGTGACGTCCTGAAGAAAGCTCCCTTCTTTTCGGCCCTCAGAACAGTCAGTTTTACCCTCGAAAAATGGGAAGTGCTCCCAGGTGTAGCTTCTTGGCAGTTCCAGTTCCAATATCCAGTTGTTGGGGTTGGAAGGTTACTGCTGGAAAAAGTGTAGTCAATTTGGACTCTCTTTTGCTCCTGACTCAGCAATCCAGAATAACTATCAAATACCGGCTTCACCAAAAATGTCGCTTAGAATCCGGTGCATCATCGGCTCTTCTTTAACCCCCTCCATTATTTTTTTTGTTCAAGAGCACCGTTGAAGGAAGCAAAAAGCTATTAGGGCTGCAATCCGAGCTCTGTTTATACAGAAAAAGGCCTCTGGCTCGGCCACGAGAGGAACTGCAGGCGTTTGGAGACTTTCTTCTGAGTAAACGTGCACAGTATTGTTCCTTAAATGCACGTTAAACTAGCTAGAAATGGCATCCTCTCTCTCTCTCTCTCTCTCTCTCTCTCTCTCTCTCTCTCTCTCTCT